GGTTAGGTAATTTGGGTAAAGGTGTTTGTGTGTGCTCGCGGGGGGGGGAGGAGGGGGTGGGGACTTTGTCTCCACCCAGAAACTCTTTGAACCTTCTGCTTTAGAAGCCGCTTTAAGACCGCAAGTAGGTGAAGCATGCCGCTGGAAATGATTTTTACTTTCTTTGAGACTCCGTCTCCCTTCTTCAGATGTGGCGTTATCCAATCATTGTTAGACAAGCCGTGACTATGGGAATGTGAGAAAGTGCATTAATAAGTTAGCAACTCATGAGCAAACAATGAAAACTAAAAATCAATAATTCGAAAGGGTTTTTAAGTTTCAGTATTGGCACTCGATTATTGGTTAAAAAACAACAACACCCAATTGTATCACAACGTATGCCGCCCCCCCCCACACCTTCAGAGAAAAAACTCAAAATAACAATCCTTTTTCAAAATGGAGAACAAGACTTGCTGCATTGTTCTTTTTCTTTCCTCATCTCCTTTTGTTACCTTGCCGGCTCACTTTCCCTGAACTCTAAATAGCTGCTCCAGTCTGTTTGTCTGACTTGTGCGACACTCATTTATTTATGTCAAACTTGTTTTAAGATATGACTGCTTTGTACAAACACACAAACACACACTCTCTCTCTCACACACACACACACACACACACACACACACACACACACACACACACACACACACACATACACACACACACACACACACACACACACACACACATACACACATGTATACACGCACAATCTATTAGAGCTAAAATTCCCAAAACATGATCCAGATTAATGCATTTAAAGAAAAAGGGTTGTCGGAGCAGAATTAATGACAACGACAATAATACCAAAAGCTTTGAAAAGCTCGTGCGAACATTTACAAAAATGGCATGTTATTGTACTATGATCACTTTCGATATAAATTGTGAGGCAGCGTGGTGGAATCAGGCTCTCGTCAAAATAATGAAAGTGAAGAAACTTGCATTTTTCCGTAGGATTATGAATTTTTATAAAAACTTTTGTTTTTTGGCTCAACAACTTTCATGCCTATTAAAGAACTCATCTCTGTGGAAATTGTTCTGAAAAACGTTGATTGAAGGCACAAAAATGTAAATTTTCAGTTACCACGGACTCTTAAGCTAAGGAAATAAGAAATCATTTGCGGCCATTTTCTCTCTTATTTCTCCTCTGAAAACAGGTGACCTCCACCTCCTTCTTTCGCAAATATCTCGACTTTTATTCAAGATAAATGGATATGTTTCTCATCAAAATAAAGACAATTGAACAAGCTTTAAGATGATACCAATAACTCTATATGCCCAAAATGGACGAGACCCTGATTCCACCACGCTGCCTCACAATTGGTGTTGGCATAGCTCCCGTTTCCAATGTGAACTTAAAGTGTCTCGTCTTAATTTCAAAGCGTATCTCCCATAAGAAATAGCTCTCGGGTTCGTAACCGTGAGCTTGCGAGTTCAGTGTTCGAGGCTAAGGCCCGACGATGTGTCCTTGGAAAAGGCACGTACCACGAATATTTCTCACTTTCTCCATGTGTCAATGGGTACGTGGCCATAGTCAACGGACATTGTCTTTTATCGCTAGTAAAATTGGCTTCGTGTACTGTATGCTTCCCAGAAAGCTTAGGTTGCTTTCAGATTGCTATCAGGTCTGCCTGGTGGTTATATTATAAATTATAAAGAGCATGGAGCTTACTGTTGAACGGGATTTTGCGGTATAAAAATACTATTCACTAGCCGTTTATTGTTTA